ATATATATATATCCCAAAGTCTGTTCCCTGGAACCTCACATGGCACCAAGGTGGCTCATATGGGCTGAGGAGGTTGTCAGAGAATTGGGTCAGTCTGAGGAAAGCAAATGGAATATCAGTTCATCAACAACAGATGGCAAGAGGCACTATATTTACCAATACTTGTTCTTTTACAAAGTTTACAAGTTTTATTTTCTTTGCAGTACCTGGGATTGAACCCAGGACCTTCACCCGAGCAGTGTAGTGCCCACACCATCCATCCATCCACTTGTTTGCTTACGACACGGTCTACCAAGTCGCTAGTTGCCCAGCCTGGGCCCCACGCCCGCCTGCCTCAGGCTCCCAAGTGCTGGGCTCACGGGGGTCACTACCGTGCCCAGCTGGCTGACAGCATTTCTTATGGAGAGACACCGCGCGGCGGTTGAGGGTTTATCTCTGGGCGCGGCTTCTGCCCCAGCTCCTGCCTCTGAGCACTGGGAGAAGCTTTGGTCTCTGGCAGCACTTGCTGATTCGTTCATACAAATCGCGTTGCTTCCCCAAACATTTTGACAAATGAGAAATTGGGCGAATTCAATCCATTTGGAGACTCGGTCCTTGTCAGCAACTTTTTGGTGAGTTGTTAGAGATTTCTGAAAAAAGACCCCCCCCCAAAACAAGGGGTCTTGTATGCCTGTGTGTGCACGTTCGAGACAGAGTCTTGCTTTGCAGCCCAGGCTGTCCTTAAACTCCCAGCCATCCTCCTGCCTCCGCCTCCCAAGTGCTGGGGTTACAGGAGTGCGCCACCACTCCCAGCTAAAGGAGGGGATTTGGACTAAGAGGAAAAGGGAAGGAAGGCGGCTTGCAGGGACTTGGCTGTAGGGGGAACAGTGCGAAGAGCCTGAGTTCAGCCCTCAGTACCAAAAATAAAAGAGCAAATGATAAAAACCACAACAAGCGCGGCAGACACCTACACTGGGTTGCAACTCTGACCGCGCGCGCACACGCTTCAGCCGCCCCTGCACTCCCTTCTGTCGCCGGCAGGTGGAGCTGACGGGCAGCAGCGTCTTCGACTACATCCACCCCGGGGACCACTCCGAGGTGCTGGAGCAATTGGGGCTGCGGGCCCCCACCCCCGGACCCCCTACCCCACCTTCAGCCTCCTCTTCTTCCTCCTCCTCTTCCTCCTCACTGGCGGATACCCCTGAGATCGGTAATTCCAAGGGTCCCCCAAAATATGAAACTGGAGCGAAGCCTGGTGTATACAAAACCCCCCTCGAGTTGTGCGAAGCAAAGCTTTGTACAACGAACCAGAATCTATAAGATCCGGCTCCCTAAAATTGCCTGTGCTCCCTAGAATGCCCGAATCCCCAAGATGTGACCCTTCTGGCTGCTGAGCAGGTGGGGGTGGCCGGGCTTCTCAGGCGTCCACTCTGCGCTGTGCCTTCCGCGCACACTTGCGTTGCATCCTGACCTCCATCCCACGGAGCAAGCCCGCTCCGTTTTAGAGGAAACAAGGCTCAGGCCCAGGAGCCAAGTAACTGCCCGATCACACGGCTGAAGCCCGGGCCCCGAGCTCCTAGGCCTTCTTTGCGCTGGAATTTATTTTTACCCTCCTGATAATGACAGCGCCTTCTCGTTTAATGTTGGGGACCTTCGAGGTGCGCGGCCCTGTAGACAGGGTTTTCTACATTGGTTTTGCTTTCCTTCGAAACCATATAGACTTCAGCAGTGTCTGGGGAGGTGTCCAGAACCCCACGACTGCCTGTGGCAGTTTGAGGCCCAGGTTTGTCTGTGAGCACTGTTATTACACCACGTGGTGGGGTTTGCAGAATAATCCAGACTTGGGAGTTGGACGTGTTGCTCTTCCCAGAGCCTCTGCTCTGTCCTAAGCCCAATGCTGGGGGCACAGGGTGGTGACACAGGACCTGGGGCTCACAGTCCTAGTGGGGAGACTGACGTGTCCCCACACAGGCTCCGAGGCAAGTTAGTGCAGTGTCAGAGAGCAGAACCGGCGACCAGAACCCTGGAGTCCCTGGCTCCGAGGAAGGAGGGGGCAGGCACGGCGTCTCCTCCTCCTCTTCCGAGCACATAACTGCGTCTCTCACCCCAGATACCAGCCCCGCCCAGCTGCCTCCTTCTGCCCGAGTCCAGGAGCGTTCCTTCTTCGTCCGCATGAAATCCACCCTCACCAAGAGGGGGCTGCACGTGAAAGCCTCGGGGTACAAGGTGGGTGCTCCACTGGAAGAGAGCTCTAGAGATTCTGGCAGCTCTGTCCCAGCCCAGAATATGACCAAGGGAACCAGACAGGTGGCTTCACTGGGTGCTGCACTTTAGGAAACCAAGGCTGGGAACTGGAAGCCACAGGCTGTCCCCGTGCCCCAGGCCTCGGGATGATGGGCAGAACCTGGCAAGGTGGACTGTTATGATCCCTGCTCTCAGGGCCACCTTGCCCCTCCTCAAACCCTGCCACCACTGCCAGCTGGCTTCCCCAACCATGTCCACCAGTCCTGGCCCTGCCTTCCATGTGATGCCCACCACCCTGTGGCTCCGCCTCCCAGGCAACGCCAATCAACCATATGGTCCCGCCTTCCCCCGACTAGACACCTCCACCCCACCCCGCCTTGCTCTTCCACCAACCTTGCCCCCTCAGCAGGTCATCCACGTCACAGGGCGCCTGCGTGCCCGCGCTCTGGGCCTTGTGGCCCTGGGCCACACGCTGCCCCCAGCCCCTCTGGCAGAGCTGCCTCTACACGGACACATGATCGTCTTTCGCCTCAGTCTGGGTCTCACCATCCTTGCTTGTGAGAGCAGGTACCGGAGTTGGGGGCTGAGGCAGGTGCAGCAGGGCACCCAGGAGAGCTTGGTTCTGTGGGAAGTCTGGGCCAGCGTGGGTCTGCAGGCTCTGCACAGTGGGAAGCCGTGGAGAAGGAGCCTGGGGCAGGTAAAGAGGTGAGGGAGGTGGCTGGGTTATGCTGGGGTCCCTGAGGGCCTGCAGAGCCCTTCCCTTCCCCACTGGTCTCACGTCACCTCTCCCCTGCCATGTCTCCTGCATCAGGCAGTGGGGCAACTTGTCCTGGTCAGAGCACTGGGGCGCCTCGGCCCTGCCACCCTAGGACAGACGCCATAATGCTTGATTTGCAGAGGGCCAAACATGCCCAGGGCACTGCTGTGCAAGGGTTTGCGCCCTGGGCGCTCTGAAGCCAATTCACACTCCTCCCCTCTGCTCTCACCCCCAGAGTCAGCGACCACATGGATCTGGGGCCCTCGGAGCTGGTGGGCCGCAGCTGCTATCAGTTTGTCCATGGACAGGATGCCACCAGGATCCGCCAAAGCCACCTAGACCGTGAGGCCCATCTCTGACACTCATCTCTGCTGCCCCTGACCCCAAGAAATCCTTCTTCCAAACTGGCCACAGTCTCTCCTGCTGCACCTACAGCTTGAGGGGCCTAGTCAGCACTGGAAGAGGCTCAAAGGCACTGAGCCCTGGCTCAGCATTGGGGGGGGGACGTGGGGTCTCTGCGACCTACCCTTAACACTCCAGGAGCCCCACTGCCACCAAGCTCTGCTCCCTCTGACTTACTCTGTCTCCCGCCCTGTACCTTTGGCTTCTCCCTGTCCCCCCTCACTGTCCATCTGTTTGCCTCTTCCTGGCCACCCCCTCTGCTGGTCTCTCCCTCCATGGCCTCTCCTGTGCCCCAACCCTCCTGTCTCTCCTGCTGGGCTGGGCCCAGTGCTGGACAAGGGCCAGGTGATGACCGGCTACTACCGCTGGCTGCAGCGTGCAGGCGGCTTCGTGTGGCTGCAGTCCGTGGCTACTGTGGCTGGGAGTGGGAAGAGCCCCGGGGAACACCATGTGCTCTGGGTCAGCCATGTGCTCAGGTGACCACCGCAGGCCATGCCCTCCTGCAGGGTTAGGAGCCACTGTGCTCAACATTGGGGTGGGTGTACCCTCCCCAGGGACAGGACAAGTAGACAGGAAGCAGGAAGTAAGCAAAGGCCTAGAAGTGCAGGGAACAGGGACAGTCACTGGTGGGGGGGATAGTGTTGGAGAGGGGCAGGACAAGTTCACAGAAGCCTCTGTCCCAGGATAAGAGTCTAGACTCAACTCCGGGGCACCGGGAGCTACAGAAGGCTTTTGCCTTGGAGGTCCAAAGTAGGCCAACTCAAGTAGAGAAGCCAAAGTTGTCAGGGAAGCTGAGGCAGGAGGATCATCAAGCTGGAGCCCAGCTTGGAAAGGGCACTGCCAGCAGGGAGCCCAGCAAAGTCAAAGAACCAACAGCTTGAGCTTTCCACCAGAGAAAAGGAATTTACAGGCCTGGAAGTTAAAGTCATCAGAGAAAAAAGGCTACAAATGACTGTGGGGCCTTTTGTCTCAGGAGTACTAGGGAGCCACAGAAGCCTTAGTGCTGCTGTCTTGTTTATTGGAAAGAGTCTCCCTCCTGCTGTGGAGAGGGGGACCAGACAGAAGACTGGGGCGTGTCTTGGGAAACACCAGGCTTCTAGGTTGCAGGAAAGCGACAAGGGCATCTTCTGCCCAGTCTCTAGCTTTGTAGAGCCTAAAGCAGGGCTCCGGAGAGGAACAGTAATTTCAGAAGAAGATGTGAGGTCAGATGGGAATGAGGCGTCTTGGGGAAACTCAGGTGGTGGCATCCAGGTGGTGATGTGGGTTGGCCTCAGAAGAGAGCCACACTGGGCTAGAAATCAGCTTTGGACCTGGGTGTTGGTGTCCATGTCGGGGCACCTGCTCTCACAGCGAGGAAGCTGTACTTGCTCTTGGCATCGTGTGGGACAGGAGGGACAGGAGGCTGGGTGGCTGGGGACCATGTCTCTCTACCTCATCCTCTTCTCCCCAGCCATGCTGAAGGCGGCCAAACACCTCTGGACACCTTCCAGCTTCCAGCCAGCACAGCCTGTGAGGACAGATCCAGCCCTGGGTCAGAGCCCACAGGTAAGCTCATCTCTCTGCCCCCACTGTCCCTGGTAACCTCCAGATGGCCCTTTGAGAGCTTAGTCCACTATAAAACCACCAGCCCAAGCACAAGGGCCTGAGTTCAATCCCCGGTTCCGAAGGAAAAAAAAGAACAAAAAACCACCAGCCTGTGTGACTATGCATATGAATATTAAAATTAAAAGTCCATTGCTGAGCATGATGGCACACACCTGTAATCCCAGCTCAGAGGATGAGGCAGAAGGATCGCTATGAGTTCAAGGCCAACTTGAACTTGCCTGACACAGGGCTTCTCAATCCCTCTCTACTTGACAGTCAGTTCAGGCTGACAGTTCTGGGCCATGAACCCAGTCCTGTGCAATCCTCTGGTCTCTACCCTCTGGGTACCAGTGGCAGCCTCACCTAACTGTGACAATCAAGAATGCCCCCAGCCCACCACTGCCAAGTGTTTCCTGGGGAACAGTCCCTTCTGCTGACAACCCTGAGTCTATCCACTGAGCCCAGCTACAATCAGGGAAACTGAGGCCCGGGACACCCACCAGTCTATCATGGTCTTCCTCTTCCAGAGGGAGGGCCTCCTCCGGAAGGGAAGCAGGCCACACCCCCAGACCAAGATGATGCCCCGCAAGCCCGGGGTAAGCGCATCAAAGTGGAGCCTCGCACAAGGGAAGCGAGGGGTTCAGAAGACAGCGGGGACGAGGAAGCCACTGAGCAGCCCCATGCAAAGCGGCCGGGGTTCACATCGGTCATCCGGGGTGCGCTGCGGCCATGGGCCCCGGAGCCCCCACGCGACCCACCGCCGCTGCCACCGTCACTGACACCTGCCCTGCTACCCGCAGGCTTCCTGCAGCCCATGGTGCGGGGCCTATGCACGCCCGGCGCCATCCGCTACGCGCCTGCTGAGTTGGGGCTCATGTGCCCGCGCCTGCCCGGCGCCCTCTGCCCCGCGCTCGGCCTACCCTGCCCTGGGCTTGGGCTTGCGGGCCCCCGGGTGCAGCACAAGGGAGACTGAGGACCCCTGCCGGGGACTGCGGCCTGTTCCCTTGGCCTGGTATCCTTGCACAAGCCCTGCTCTTCCACTTCCTCCCTCCTCTGCTCCTCCTCCTCCCCTTCCTCCCCTTCCACCCGTTGCTCTCCTTCCTCATCCCTCCAGGCCCTGTCCTCCTCCAGTCACGCGCCTTCCCCAAGGAACGGGAGCCACCACTCTGAGTCTGGAATCTGGAGCGAGGGCAGCTCAGGTTTTAATGTCCCATTCCTAAGGCCAGTCGGTCCCCACAGCCCTGTTGCTCACTCGGGTGGCGGCCGGCCGGCTTCATCAGAGCCTTCGGCGGTGGCTGCACCGTCGTCGTCGGGCACCAGTTCCACGTCGAGCTCGAGCTGACCCATGTAAAGACCCACAGCACAGGCCCACAGCAGGCTGGCGGCCAGGACCGCGCCCACACCAGCTGCTGCGCCCCCCAGGGACAGCTGCATGGGCCCACGCAGTGAGGCCAGGCCCACGGCATAAGAGGCACCGCCCCACACTACACATAGGCCGCCGAGCAGGAAGAAGCCTGCGGAGGAGAGAAGGCGTCATCAGTCAGGCAGGAAGGCCAGGGGACAAACCCAAAGGAGTAGACACAGCCAGGACATGTCTAAAGCCAAGGGCAATAGAAGCCATCTAGGTGTCAAGGCTTTGGGGGTGGGGTCCAGGGCCAGAGGAGGACAGGATGCTGGCCCTGGGGCCCCTGGTCTGTGAGGGTGGAGTTAGACACATGCTCTGGGCCACCAGTGTCAGGAGGACAGCATTTAGTATCCAAACTTACATCAGGGCCCAGGGCACCTCGCTCGTTTATAGGGGTCAGCACTCACCATAGGCGGCTTCCCGTCCCATGTCACTTTGCATGAAGGAGATGACCCCGATGCCCGAAGCCAGGAGGCCATTGCGGAACCAGGACAGGAAGGCTGCAGGGAGAGGAAGACTGACATAAGCCCAAGCCCTGCCCCAGATGCCCCTCTGTCCAGTCAACCCGAGGGGTTTTCCATGCCCCATCTCCATGTCCCAAACCCCCAACCCTTCCAGGAACCCCCCAGCAAACCTCCTTCCCCCAATCATCTCATCTGGATCTCAACCCCTAGCCCCTAAATTCTGCAACACCAAAGATTCAAGATGGCCTCTGTGGAACCTAGAGGGCGATCTAGAACCAAAAGGAAGACCCTCAACCTCCAGATGGGGAGATGTCAGGGGCCCCTCTTGGCCAAGCCCTCCCCTCAAGTGTAGCCCCTACCCAGCTTCTTTCTCAGACCCCTGAGACGACTCTCAACACCTCTCTCAGGTGCCTCCCTTGACCTCCTTCAAACGTCATCCTCTCCTACCATGCAAAGCCGACTTTAAAGCATCCACACTTCCCCCCAGCTCAAGTCCCTGTGTAGCGCCAACAGGCTGGTTCCAATACAAGTCCCCTACCCCATCCTATACCCACGCCCTATACGCTCCGCGGTCTGTCACCTTTCCATTTGAGGCTCCACCCCCAGCAGCCTAGATCACTTCTTCCTCCAATCAGCAGAGAGCAATGCCCCTATTGGCTGCACCCTCCTCCAATCCGGAGCTCCTCCATCTTCTGCGGGGAGCTGCACTGTACTGTACGCAGAATGGTCCCCTCGGCCATCGATGTGGGTCCCTGTGGCAAGGAGTCCCTCTCCCTTAGCTGCCCCGGGGAAGTCCCCTCGTCAGGCAGGTCCAATTCTGCCGGCCGCCTCCCCGATCCTTACTGCGCCCTGCTGGCCTGGACCCCGGCACACCTCGAGCAAGCCCCTGCTCTGTAAGCGCAGCCTGCACCTCTGCAACCAGTGTCTCCGCACGGATACGGAAGCTCCCATCACCGCCAAGCTCGGGCTTTGCTCCCAGCCTCGGCTGCAGAGCCGCAGCCCGCACACGCGCTTGCACGCTCTGCTGCGGAGCCCAGCTCCAGCCCGGCTCAACTCCAGCCCCTGCCACAAACCTGTCTCGTGAGCCTTCCGGAGGAGCCAAGCGTCCGCGCGGTCTAGCTCGGACACTGCGGGTGGCGAAGCCCCGGCACGGGGACCGTGGCCTGGAGCGAAGGATCCCCGGGAGCCCCCGCTCCGGGGCCGCTGAGGAGGTAGTAGCGACCCCCGGAAGCGGAGTCGGGCCAGGCGAGCGACCCGAGCCCACCACCAGCTTCCTCCCATGGTTCACACTAGAGCCGTCGCGCGCCGCTCCGCCCCGTGGGGCGCCCGTAGGCTGAGACTCACGTCACTCAGGCAGAGCGGCTCTCTATTGGTTGTTCTCCCGCTACTCAAACCCCAGTAAGTGTTGTCCATTGGTCAAAGTAGCAGTGTTTCCCTCCTCTGTCATCTATGCCGGTAGTGCGCATCCCGCCTAGCTTTTGCCTCCTGACTACAAATCCCAGCGATCAGCACCTCCGGGGAAGGCGGGCTTCCAAGTTCTGGCGCGAGGTCTGCTGGACTTGTAGTTTTGGTTTTTGGTTTTGTTTTGTTTGAAGTTGTAATTTAAAAAATAACTTTAGAGACCGGGGAGATGGCTCAGTAGAATAAGTGCTTGCCCGGCAAGTGCAGCAACCTGAGTTCAAACCCTGGTTCTGCCAAAAATAAAATAAAATAACTTTAATTCCAATGACCACAAAACAAAAACTCTTAGTGCACAATCTGAAAAACCCCGGGGAGCCCAGAAGGAGCGTAAAAGCCCACCAGTAATCTCATCAATGAACGGTTATTATCTTGTTGTATTACTGTATGATTCTATGCAGATATAAAATAAAATGCCATTTGACGAATTATTTTTTCATATAACTTTATTGGTAATATTGATTTGTGTCACTGAGCATTTCATATATATATATATATATATATATATATATATATATATATAAATTTATTTATTTATTTATTTTTTTGCGGAACCGGGGATTGAACTCAGGCCCTTGTGCTTGCCAAGCAAGCGCTTATTCTACTGAGCCATCTCCCCGGCCCATATATATATATATATATATATATATATATATATATATAATTTTTTTTTTAAATTTAAAAAGTGATGCCAGGCATGGTGGTGCTCATCTGCAATCCCAGCACTCAGGAGGCTGAGGCAGGAGGATCACTGTAAGTTCCAGACCAGCCTGACGGTTGGGAGGGGCTCAAGCTGAAAGTTAAGCACATATGCAGCCTGCTGGAGAACACGGGAGCTCCTTACTGCACATAAACAAGCCCTTGCAGCTTGCTGACTGATTTCTGACGAGAGAGACTGAAATTGACATCAACCTCTCCAGGGTATAGATAAGCGCTCTATAGGTTTTGGGGAGAGTCTTCTCCACTCAAGAGAGGGAGGACATCCTCAAGACTCAGTTCTTGCCTCTTTACTCTCCTTTTAAAAAATTCTGCTCTTTCCAGCCGGCGCCGAGCAATGGGCATCTCTCAGGACAACTGGCACAAGCGCCGCAAGACCGGGGGCAAAAGAAAGCCCTATCACAAGAAGCGGAAGTATGAGTTGGGGCGCTCTGCTGCCAACACTAAGATTGACGCCCGCCGCATACACACAGTCCGAGTTCGAGGAGACAACAAGAAGTACGGCTAGATGTGGGAAACTTCTCCTGGGGCTCTGAGTGTTGTACTCGAAAACCAAGGATCACTGGTGTTGTTTACAGTGCATCCAATAACGAGCTGGTCCGCACCAAGACCTTGGTGGAGAACTGCATTGTGCTCCTTGACAGCATGCCGTACTGACAGTGGGACGAACCCCACTATGCACTGCCCCCGGGCCGAAGAAAGGGGGCCAAGCTGACTCCTGAGGAGGAGGAGATTTTAAACAAAAAACGATCAAAGAAAGATCAAAAGAAGTATGATGAAAGGAAAAGGAACGCCAAGATCAGCAGTCTTCTAGAGGAGCAGCTCCAGCGGGGCAAGCTTCCTGCCTGTATTGCATCAAGACCAGGCCAGTGTGGCCGAGCAGACGGCTGCGTGCTGGAGGGCAAAGAGCTGGAGTTCTAGCTGAGGAAAATCAAGGCCCGGAAAGGCAAATAAACCTTCCCTCCTGGCTTAACTCATGTAATAAAGATGTTTATTGTTCTATGTGCATGTTATGTGAATAGTCTATCAATTTGCAAAGCTCCAAAAAAAAATTCTTATTGCTGTTTTTCCCTGAGATCACTGAGACCCTAAAGAAGTTGACATTTAACACCTGAACAGGGACTTTGGTAGGAAAACCTGGGTGCTGGGAATACTTTTCTTTTCTTTTCTTTTTTTTTTAATTTTATTTATTTATTTATGTGTGTGTGTGGCCAGCTCAGCCCACCAGGAGGCGGGTCTGGCTGGCATGTGGTGCTGGGGATCGAACCGCGGTCCCTGTGCTTTGCTGAGCTTGTTCCAAGTAGGCGCTTTAGACCACTGAGCCATCTCACCAGCCCTGGGAATACTTTTCAAGTGCGGGCAATAGGGGACAGAAGAGAATTGGTTAGCGTGCTGGTGTGCATGAGTATGGGCACATCAGGTGTAAAGATTAGGGATACAGTTTTGCTAGGGCTAGAGACTATATAGCTTTCAGAGAAGCCAAAGAGAGAGGGGTATATTGAGTCACTAGTAGTTAAGTATGGAGCGAGACAGTTCAGTGATCCAAAGCGTCTGCTGAGGCAAGCTTAGACGGGCACAGCGGGCACAGCGTACTGCGGTTCAACCCCCGGCAACGTATGTTGCACCAGCCCGGCCCTCTGGGTGGGCTGAGCCAGCCAAAAAAAAAAGAAACACAGAGTATACGTATATTGAAGTGTTTTTCCCAAGCTTTACTCCTGTATTTCATTTTCTTTTTTGGATTTTGGTTAGAAGGGGTTTTACAATCATGAAGATTTCAGCTAAGACATTGTTTTAAAATCAGGTCCTAAGCCTGAGTGGGACAAGGAGGGCCAAGCAATGGTGTATGGAGCTTATGCCCTCTTGCTTTGCCCAATTTAATAAGGAAAGAGCAGTGGGGGACAGAGGGGACCTTTCCCCACCAGAGAAGTTTTGCCCTGCAAATCACACTGCACAACACCCAAGGAATTTGACTGAGCCACAGATAGTAATCCTGGTCTTTTCAGCTCAGGGAAAATTTGCCTTGTCACAGGGAGTAGAGCCATTTTCTCTATCTCCTTTGCAATTGGCATTAAAGGAAGCCAGCCAGTCAGGGGAGTTCATGCAGGATTTTCAACATATCTACCCTGTTACTAAAGTTCAAGTCCCCCAAAACCCAGGACAAGGCTGGTGCAACATATGTTGCTGGGGATTGAACCGCAGTCCACTATGCCCGTCTAAGCTTGCCTCAGAGACTCTTTGGAGCACTGAGCTGTCTCGTGATACATTATTATGAAGCTATACCTTTTAATATCCTAAAGAGTTTTTTTTTTTTTAAAGGTATTGCTACTTATGGCCTTACTGTTCCCCTTGCCTTGAGATGAGTAGAAATCCTCTCGGACAACAGATTATGGCCCCAAAGGATTGGAAAGGAGTAGCTAGAGCAGGTTTCAATCCAGGTGATTATTTGCTGTGGAAAGGAAACTTCTTTAAATATTGCATGAACCAGGAAGTTCATAATGCTGTTCAAAACAGAGCCACTACAAAAGATTTGCTGCTCAGGAAAGGCACCTTTGCTATCACAACCAATTGACCTTTAAATCATCAGCCTATGGTGAGATGGCTCAGTGGTCTAAAGCACCTACTTAGAACAAGCTTAGCTAAAGCACAGGGCCCGCGGTTCAATCCCCCAGCACCACATGCCAGCCAGCCCCGCCCCCTGGTGGGCTGAGCTGGCCACATACACACAAAATAAATAAATAAATTTTAAAAAAAAATCATCAGCCTATGAGCAAACTAAGACAGCTGCCGCCAGAGCTTGGAGGGGATGTCCTTGAAGGGTGAGGCATCCCGTAATTTGGCTTCTATTTATCATGGCCCCAATGAACCTTTACAAGATTTTTGTGGCACCCTTATTGTAAGCTAGTACAATAATTATAAGTAACAGAAATGTTTCAGTGAGATAGCTCAGCAGACTAAGTGCCTGCTTAGGCAAGTGTAAGGACTGGGGTTCGATCCCCGGCACCACATGCTGCACCAGCCCTGCCCCTGGGCACACTGAGCCAGTCCCTGAGACCCAGCATGGTGGCACATACCTGTAATCCCAGCACTGGGGAGGCTGAAAACAGGAGGATTACTGAGTCTGAGCTGTGTAGTGAGACCCTGCACCAAATACATAAAAAGAAAAAAGAAAAATAATAGTTCAATGACTGGCCTTTAAAAATGCAAATAAATAGTGTAAAGAGACTTAAAGAGCCCACAAATAACAGTTTACTCTATCAGAGATTACTCACTTGTGCAGATATTGGCCCCTCGTATGTAGAGGAGGCTGCCTGGGCAGCAGCTGTTACTCAGGTTATTAATCTGCAGTCTGGAGGAAAGGGACTGTGGCTGTCTGTTTTCCCTGTGGGGATGAGGGACATTTAGCTTGAAACTGCTCTGTCACACTTACAGAGGCAGCACAGCCATCGTCCATCTCTTCAATAAAAACTTCTAGTCTCTGTACAAAGTGTTGACAAGCGTACCACAGGTACAGATCGAAAATTGATGGGAAAAGTTGGCCCTTTGCAGAAACCTCCCACTGAAGCCTGCCTCAGCCCCATCAAGCAATGGGGCCCCTTCCTCAACTCCTCCCTGGCCCTAGCCCCTGGTAGGTCTATAGTTGCTACATCCAGAGGCCATGCTGTAAGCCAGCGGCGTTGGGCAATAACTGAAACATCTGCTTCTGTGTCTGAAAACCTTTGAATATTTTTTCCTTTAATAGTCAATTCCATCTCTGAGCATTTTTGTTTAAACTGTTGAACCCAGTATGTGACAGAAGATCCAAAGCCCTTGGATCCCTTTTCCTCATTTGTGAATTTCCTAATTTTTACCCAGGGAAGAATGACCAATTAAGCAATACAAGAGTCTGGGGTGATTTGAACATTTTTTTTTTTTTTTTGAAACTGGGGATTGAACTCAGGCTCTTGCGCTTGCCAGGCAAGTACTTATTCCAATGAGCCATCTCCCCGGCCCCAGAACAATGTTTTGAGTAGATTGAATTATAGCCTTGATTTCCCCTGCATAACCAGCATTGATGATACTAGGCAAAACCTGGAGACCTTTAAAATAAGACTACTGGGGCTGAGGAGCAAGCTCAGCAATCTAAGCAACTG